GAAAGCTTTGATCCACAGAGGGGTGTGCTTACAAAGATGCCTGGACTGTACAGCAAGAGGATATGTGGACCAGGAGAAAAGCAGAGAGCTAAGGGCCTTGATAATAATAGTGTAAAGACTTACTTGTGACATATTCACATTATGAAAAATAGTCAGTCTAGAGCTCTTACTAGCTAAACGTGGATGTTCATAGTGAGAAGACCAGAAAAGAATGCTAGGAAGAATTTTGCCTTTATTTGTGCACTGCATGACAGATTGGCATGGACACGAGAAAGGTCAAGAAGGAAGGATTACTCATTATTTTCTCTTAAGACAAGAATTAGGGATATGAAATTCAGTAATCAGGTAAAAGTTTTAAAGCAAATATTCTTTCTTGAGCAACACATAATCTGTGGAGTCTCATTGCTGCAAGATGTTGGGAAGACCAAACGCATTAATGGATTAAAAATTCTAGTAAAGAATTGCATGGCAGAAAAGTCCACTGAAGCTTAGTAAACATAAATATATATATATTCCACTTCCAGTTTTGTGTTCCTAACCTTGCAGGTTACCAGAAATAGCTCTAGCCTGCCTAGGGACTCACACTTTATGCTTGTCTTGTCACACAGTTTCATGATGCTTTCTTGCCCAGCTGTTGCCAGAAACAGAATGTCAGACTAAGCATGTCTTTGATCTCCCCCAGTCCAGACAGACTTTTGTTCTTATATCAATGAAAGGAGAAACGATAGAGCTCTAGACACTATAAAGGCAGAAAATAGAGATAGCATTTATGTTACACTCAGGAGAGGAGCATTGTAGGATTTGATTCTTGCTACTTGCAAGAACAGTGAAATGCATACACTAATTTCTTACAGAACTTAAAGAACAAATTTCATTTTATTCCCAAATAACCTTGTAATCTAATAGATTTAGAGTTGGTGGTAATTTTCTTCTTTATTTGATCCTGCTGAGTAACAAAGCAAGCATACAGAATTCAAAAATAAAATAAAGGTAAAAAATCCTGAGCCTTTCAGCTCTTTCTAAGCATTTTGCTCTTTATCAGCATGTTTTTTCCGACCTAGCTGATTCTATGATTCTGTGTTTGCATTCTGATGGCTATCTTTGCATTCTGTGGCTATTACTTGAAGTAGTATCAAAGCTATTTCTTGAAGTAGTATCAAAACTGGCCACTTGAGGGCAGTACTGCAACTTAATTGTTACAGTGTTCGGCTCTCAGCCAGACCTCCACATCTTATTAAAAGATGTACTGCCTGGGTAGGCGAGGGTCCCGTTTTATTTGCATATATGTTAAGTAAAAAATATATTTCGCTTTACTCAAGTTTCCAAATGCTTAATACACAGAGAGAGAATTTCAGCGGTAGTTATAGTGACTTATACCACAGCAAGCTTAACAGCAAACTACTTTAATAAATTATGTTTACTTCACTGCACAAGTGGAAAATCACTTAAGAGCACAGTTTCAGCTGAGTATATCGAGGATTATGCAAGAGCACCAGTCAAAGAATTCAAATCCAGGAGGCACCTGACTGTGTATTTTGGATTAGCAAGGGGACAGTGGGCCAGAGCAGGGGTGGCCAACAGCACAGAAGAACCTTCCAAGGCAACGCAGGACATGGCACCACTACAGTCCACAAAAGCACATCCCTTCATTAAGAACTGGGACCAGGTTGTGAAAGGTTAATGGCAGGGCAAAAGGAGCACTTCACAGTGTGTTAAACCTTGAGATAATTAATCATAAATGACTATTTTGAACACCAGCTTCTATAAAACAGAAAATTATTGCAGGGTCAGCCTTCTGTTCAATAGATATGCATAATGTCGATTAATGCAAAGGGAATTATTGCATACGTTGACAGAGACCCACCCTTTAATTGGTACCATACGCAAAATAGAAAGCTTCCATTTTATTATTAATTTTTCAACGCACAGATGGTCTAAATAAAAGGTTTCCAAATTTCCTCAAGGAAATTAGGTTATTACACAAGTCTCACACCAAAACATTCATGTGGCAGAAAGCCATTCTCTCCCCTGTATCTCCTGCATCTTCCCAGGCAGCGCATAAATCTAGAGTTGCACTTTTGCCACCCCTTGATTACACACAAAATCCTCATGCCTGCTCAGAATATTCCCTCTTTTGCTTTCTGAACTGAGATACTAAAAAATGTATAATCCAGAGAAAACCTGGCAGCTGGTGAGCAAAACACACTTGAACTCTTCCTGAACTGCCATTTGGCCAATGCTTATTGAAGGCGTCATTCTGAAGCCTTGCTACTATGATTAGGATAAGTAAATATGAGTTGTAAAAATATTTACAATAGTTTACTAACAAGGAAGCAGTGGAGAAGGTAGTATTATTTAATTCATTAAACTCCTGTTTTTTCTTCACACAGTTTCTCTTAATCATTTGAAATCATCTGTAAGCCTATCATCTCCTGTCTTTTTATAAATTTCTCTGTCATATATACCATATTCTGGTTACTTCTAGCAAGTAGAAAGGATTGTTGTACACAGGGGATCATATTAAATTTAAACTTAACATAAGTTTGTGATAGTCATACTATAACCAAGTTAACCACAATTGTGGATGAATTTCTCATTGGTAATAGTTTAATTATACTGGTAGGAAAATCTGATGACTAGAGGCTTATATACACTGAGGAGGTCTCAAATTATTGTGCAACATTACTGAAAGTAGCACATCCATGATGGCAATGCAGCAGATTAAAATTATTTTCATATTTTCATTTAAAAAAAAAAATACAGTCAGCTGCTTTTGGGGAAAAACATACTGAACACTAGCGAATCTTTCACAATCAAAGACTCCTTTATAGGCATGTTCAGTCCCCAGTGACACCAGTGGGTATTCTGTCAGTCAGTGGAAGAACAGGTCTTTAGAGATACTTTCAGTCTTTACTGACTATTGACAGGTTGGAGCTTGGCAACATAACAAACAGTTTTCCTTCCTACACAATAGAGTTGGCAGAAACTGAAAGTTTAGGAGTTTCAGGTTTTTAGGATCGGGTTCCTCAGCTGGTATAAACATACGTAGCTCCACTGGCTACTGCGGGAGAGCAGATCACTCTGCTGGCACTGTAAATTCCACTGGCAACAAGTAACAGCTCCATGACGCTGATGAGAAACTTGATATAATCAAATCTCAAAGGATGTCAGTGCTTGAATTCAAGCCTTCTCCCAAGTGCTGTCTAGTGACTGATGATCTCCTGCCTGATGTCTCTGCACCAAGCACATAAAGAAGCCTCTTTATGATTTTCCCAGTGGTGCTTCCTGGCCACTTCATGAATTCTCAGTGTCCCACCTCTCCTGAAGACTCCCTGACTCCTCCCATGTTCTTTACAGGGCACACTGTTTATGCTGAGAGACAGCCTTATGGACCCCACTTTCCATCATTTTATTTATCTTCATTTCAGTCTATACATCACTCCACATGTGCTTTCTATGGTGCCTTCTTTTTGTTTATTTCTTGCCATTTTACAAGTCTGTGCACAGCTGTGGAAGATACAACACCAAAGCAGCAGTAACCAGATTGAAACTACTGTAGACGTGCCGCTTTTTCTATCTATCACTTTTATTGCTGCTTCAGCTGCCAAAGTGCTCTGTAAATGGTGGCTGGTGCCCCACTCAGCAGACTTCACTCAGTGGGGATTATTTTACAGAGTCATATCACAATTACTAATGACTACTAGCCTTTAAAGTAGTCCCTACTTCATCTGCGTTAGTTATGCTGCTGGACATTGTGCCATTTTAATAAATGTAAAACAAAACTGAGACCCAAGGTTTGAAAGTGAGTGATCTTAACAAACAGAGAAAAATAAATGGGTATCTCCATGGGCTTCCATAGCTTCTGAGGGGGGAAAGAAAGAGAATTAGATTCATCTCACCTCATTTTGGCAATCTGGAATTTGTCATGTTCTCTAAGAATGACATAGCCCACAGAAGGAATCAGACACTCTTAGCGAGAAACTCATCTCACTCCAAAATTAGTGTCTAATTGGGGTGGGATGATTTGTTTGCCAGGGGTGTCTGTTTCTCCAATAACTAGAATTAAATAATGAGCTTACATTAGGCACTTAACTTTGAGAGAGCTAAAATAGTAGAACATACCAAATGGCTTGCACCATCAAGAGTCCTGACCATGACATCACAACACTCAGACTGATCCAAAGCCTAGAATTGCTCCTACCCCAAGAGAGCTACACAGGCAAAGTGCACCCACCGTCAGACCCATTGTCTATTTAACATCAAGAAATCACTGCTACTTCGTGACCTTATTCCTTCAAAAGGAAAGGAGCAGCTGCAGAACCATAGTTCCTTCACAAAGAGCTGCTGCATTGCAAGCACAGTTCCTTGCTGAAGGACCAAAGGAATGGGAAGGAATGCTTTGAAATCCATAGAACTGCTGAACAAACTTGATGTGGAGGGAGAGGGTGTCTCTCCAGGCACTTGCAGATGTCCAGAGTTAATCCATGTGAAACATCCTTCTTCATAAAACTGAGACCATGGGAGGTCAACCCTCTCCATCGTATACTTCCTTTCCCTTATTTAGAAGTGCCCTGACCCTCCTCCATTCTGTTTTACTACACCTAAAAAGGGAAATCCAAACAAACTATTTTAAATATTTACTTTCCTTTTTTACAACACTGTCAATATCTGGGCAAAAGATGTTACTGCATGACAGGACCCCCACTGCTGTGCTTTAGAGAAAACACCAACCTTGCAACTGCTGTCAAATGTCACCAATAAAAATGAGCTCTGAGGAAAGCAAATCACAGGCCCCCACTGCCCAGGGCAACTCTTCCCTGCTCTTCCCAACTTCTCATGAAACAAACCACACTCACTCTGAGAAATGAAAGCTGTACATTAGGAGATTATTCACTATCAGCTGTGGACTGCAAATAAAGAGGGAGTAAAAGAAAAGAAAGGTATTACCTGGTTTTCTGTCTCAGTAATTTGCCTGAAAGATGGAAAATGAAATGTTTTACCTTTACAGAAAAGTGCTTCTTCTTGGGTGGATGCCAGACAGTGGTGGTTGAATGAATGAATGCTCGCAGAGGTGTTAAGGATGTCACAAGCACATATGCTTTTATGATGACAGAAAGGTCTTGAGCTTTAAGGATGTCCTTGTGGTCTGGTGAAGCTGATACATGATTCCTGGAAAGTAATAAAAATACACAGCATTAATGAAGTGCTTTTGCAAATGAGGAAAATCAACTGTAAGAATATAGTAAAATAGTGAAATCAGTGGAAATAGGAAATTAGACTTTTTTCCTCCAAGTTAAGCAATACAGTCAATGAAACCAAGCAGGCTGGAACAAAGCATTACATCAAGTAATGCTTTCAGTATTTTTAAATCCTATTTTCCATACATAGAAAGTAACTACGTTAGGACGGAGTTGTTCTGTGGAGAACGACCTGGGAGTGTTGGTGGATGAGAAACTTAACATGAGCCGGCTTCAGTGTGCGCTCACAGCCCAGAAACCAACCATATCCTGGGCTGCACCAAAAGGAGCATGACCAGCAGGTCAAAGGAGGTGATCCTGCCCCTCTACTCTGCTCTTGTGAGACCTCACTTGGAGTACTGTGTACAGTTCTGGTGTCCTCAACATAAAAAGGACATGGAGATGCTGAAGCAAGTCCAGAGGAGGGCCATGAGGATGGTAAGAGGGCTGAAGCACCTCCCGTATGAAGACAGGCTGAGAAAATTGGGGCTGTTCAGGCTGGAGAAGAGAAAGCTGTGTGGAGACCTCATAGCAGCCTTCCAGTATCTGAAGGGGGCCTACAAGGATGCTGGGGAGGGACTCTTCATTAGAGACTGTAGTAGTAGGACAAGGGGTAATGGGTTCAAGCTTAAGCAGGAGAAGTTTAGGTTAGATATAAGGAAGAAGTTCTTTACAGTGAGTGTGCTGAGGCACTGGAATGGGTTGCCCAAGGAAGTGGTGAATGCTCCGTCCCTGGCAGTGTCCAAGGCCAGGTTGGACAGAGCCTTGGGTGACATGGTTTAGTGAGAGATGTCCCTGCCCATGGCAGGGGGGTTGGAACTAGATGATCTTAAGGTCCTTTCCAACTCAAACCATTCTATGATTCTATGATTCTATGAGTTATGTTTGAGAGTATATATGGATAAATGCATTGTGGGCAAATTGCAGTTGTTGCAAGACAACCTAGGACATTCAGAGTGAAGGTAAAAACATTAAAGAAATCCAAGCAGCTTAAACAACAGAAGTCCATTTAAAACAGATTGAAAACTGATTTACAGGAAATTCAGGGGACGGGGGGGATGGGGGATGGGACTTGGACCAAAATGAAAAAAAACCTACAGAAAGATTGCACTATTGTTAAAACTTTCTTCAATGTAATAAATAGACAGAAATATGTGTTACTACATGTTTTTCCTAATGAAAGTCACAAACTATCATTCCAAATATTATGAAAGACTATAACACCAAGGAATAACCCCATAATAAATAAGCTAAACAAAAAAGAACTGTGAAAACTAACTTTGTCTTGGAAGTGACATGGCTCTCCAGATGCTGGTCTACAAGCTCCCATAGTCCACACAAAAAGAAATCAGTCACAGCTTGTTACTTGGGGAAATCTGAGCTATACTTAGGCCTAATCCAAATGTGGTTATTGTTCTGACTGTGAAAATCTCCAAGTATCAATCTATCCATAGCAAATGCAATGAGAAGATGACTATACAAATTACAGGTCTTTGAGAATGGTTACTGGTAAAAGACAGGTCTCCCATTTCTGTGTAATCTTTGGCAATATACGGCCTTCTCAGACCTCAATTTTGCTGTTAAGGGAGTCTAATAATATCATCTTAAAGAGACCTTCTTCTCCCCTCTGCAGAATGGTAGGGCCTCACAACATAAAATTTTTGAGATACTGTAACATAGGAAACAGCACTTGGACAGCCAGTTCTCCAACCAATAACTTCCTGGTTCTTCACTGAGAGGGTCTCTGTGCAAATGACTGCATGTGTATGTCTGTGGTAGGGGCAAGGCAAGAATGGGAGCAGGAAACAGCTCAGCCACCATGAGACCTAAACAGTCAGGGATGTCTCTGAGTCTGTATTTATCTGCCTAGGTGTTTCAATGCCCTTAACACTTAGCTGGTCACACACAAACCATGTGCAAGTTTGGCTAATACAGAAACAAACATTATGCAAGTATAAGCTATGCAATACATCCAAGTGCTCCATCTGCTGTGGTCTCCTCTGTTGCTACATTCTGTGTCCCTGACTCCCAAATAACTGCAGGATGCAGCACTTGGGGTTTCTGCTGGTGGGGCATCATTAGCTTACAGCTATGCACTCCCGCTCTGCTTCTACTAGTACCTTAGATGGGAACCATGTGTCTTGTCAGTGCTTTTGCTGCCCTGGGACACGTTGCTTGCGGCGCTGGCCCTTGACATCCCAAGCTGGCCAGAACACTCTGGGGTGACAACAGGGAGCTGCAGATCTGAAAAAACACGGAGAAGATGAGAAAGAAAGTCAGCAGAGCCTTGAAAGCAGCAGTTGACTCCTACTGTCAAGGATAAAATGTGTGAACACAATAGGTAAAGAGGAGGCACCAGCATCAGCCAAAAATGTAAAATAAGAAATGCTGAGAATATAATCCTTTTTGGATCTGCTAGAAGAGAGCTTTACACCCACCAAGCATGCCCTTCCAGCTGCAAGCCCAGAAGCTTGGCTGCAACTCCTACATTATAGGTGAGTGCATGAGTGCTGCAGAAATAAAATGTTCCATTCCCCCTTCTTCTACGTAGAAATCCTTTATTTCTCATTATAGAATACCAAAACTTTGTTTTTCAAGTAGGTCCAATTACAACTAATGGGGATAAGAAATTTATTTGCCTAAGGACCAAGGGGCTTTGCCACTGTAATCACACACAGCTCAGTAAATAACCACACGTCCTTGTTTCTAAGTTCACTGTTTAAAGGCTACATTTTGTAGCTACTGAAATCTATGGGAGGTTTAGTTCTGCCACCAGACG